TTAAAAAAAAAAAAAAAGTAACAAAAACCGTTATGTTACATATAAGAGATGTAAACAGCTGTTTCACAAACAAAAATTAGTTGCCAGGCATCTTCATTGAAATAAAAACAGCTAAGAGAAAATTGTGTTTAAAATTAGATGATAAATTTGAAAAAGAAATAATACTAGGGTTTATAGCTTTTAAAACAGTTTTTTGATTCATTAATTTTGGAGATAACACTTTACTTAGAAATATAATTAGAAATATAAGTGAAGAATTACTTTATTTGTTGCATATTAAATGCCTTTGTTGTTTTTTTCCAGCTCCATGTTTGTTTATGGTGGGTTCAATGGTCAGTTACTGTCCAGTCTCTTGAAATTTTCACCAGGTATGAGATAAATAATTATTTTGTGTTACACTTTTTCACACGAGTGTGTCTAAAATTGTATATTATGTGTTAAAGTTTTTTTACATCATGAATAATATGTAAAATATTTCTTTGTTTAACTTTGATAAAAAGAGTGGTTAAATCATTTGTTTTTTATGTGTAGTTGCACAAACTATAGTGTGTCAGTCTATTGAATCACAGTCACATGGGTTTTTGAAGTCTAAAAGCTGCTTCAAGTTAGTTCATTACATAGCATTCTTCTAATCTAGTAATATGTCTTCAAGAGTAATTTAAGATCTATCATAAATTATAAAGCACCTTTTACTAAACTGAACTAATCAAATAGACTGAAGTAGAATATATATATATTATATTATTATAACGTTTAAAGCTCTGGTAGTAACAAAATCTGAACTTTTCATTAAAACATCAACTAGCTTGATAAAAATGTATTATTGTTCTTATCTGTTTTCTCCCTTGACAGCAGAAGTTACAGATGTGAGGCTCACCAAGACAAAATTCACTCAAAAAAAATTTTGCAAATTAACTTCCTACACTATTGTATTATACATTACCACATGCGTATGTCATATAACAAAGTATGAAATAAATATTTAAAGAGAAGTTACATAATCTGAATGTGTATGTCTTAAAAGCATTATTAGCTATGAAACAAATTAATAATTTTTCTATTGTTAAATATTTTTATTATCATCATGTATGAGATGAACAAATACCTTAACTGTGCATTGGAGAAGGATTGTTGACTATAATTCTGAATTTATAATGTGTTTCTATATGGCATTTGGCAAGCTTTTAGTAAAATGTAGAAATCTGTTGCTTATTAAAAATTAGATGTGTTACTAAAGTATTTGTACTCAAAATATGTCTGTGAATTGATGATGCGAGTCAGACTTGGACTCTGACAAGTCGGAGTGCAAGGTGATGTCTACGTGAAGGATAAAAATACTTTTATTCATCATACAGTTTACATATTGCATTTGAGTAATGTCTAGTACCTCCAAAATGTATATCTACAACTTCTTTCAGTAACTGGTATTTATTCATCTCTACCACAAACTGTTGCTAAATCAGCATGTATAACTAAAATGAATAGCTGATATCTCTGATGTTAAATACATAATATCATCTCAAGTGGCACTCTGTAAAATGTCATTGGCATGTGAATTTTGACCCCACCCATGCACATGTGTTAAAAATTATTTCTAATTATGAATTGTGTTGTAAGAGCATGCAAAAATATCATATGCATGGGTATCTCAAGCTGTCAATAGAAAACAATGTTTTAGGAAAATTCTTTATGTATTTTTTATTTGTTTTCTTTATCTGTAAAAATCGTTATAGAGCATATTTTCTGCACATTTATTTTTCTACTTCAGCTGTGTCAAAAGTTTTGAAAATAACACACATAGTTGCTGTAGAAAGAAAGTTATAGAAATATAAACAAAAAAATGATTGTTAGTTCAGTAAATTCAGATGATAACATTAAATGCCAATAAAAGCAAAGTTTAAACACATTATCAGATAGTATTGAACAGCATTAGCTTCTTTTAAAACCACATAGTTAACCCTAAAATATTTTGTGTAAAGGAAGGAAACCTTGACTCTGCTGATGGAGAAATATTTTAGGGGTTAACTCTCATGATGTTAGAAAAAAATGTAGGTTCAAGAAGTCTTGATAGAAATGAATAAAAACCCTATAACCCGAGTACTTTTGAAAGGTGGACCTTTCTTCTTCAGGGGCAAACTGGGGTTAACCTTATGTTTGTAAAAGAAGCAAGTCCTGCCTGTAAATAATTAATTATAATTAAACCCAAAATATGTTTAATTTAAACAATTTTAATTACAGGAAGTAGCTTACTATAAAAAAACCAAACTGTTGCAAATGTATAATATTTTTAAATGCAAAAACACATGTGCAAAATATACATAAAGACTTGACATTTTTTTACTGTTAAGATAAGCACTGAAGTTCTTCAATTTCAAAAGTGCAAGTTTGTCATGTTTTTACCATGAAAATCTGTACCTACTGATTCCTGGTGTTATTCCTCATGCTGGCACTCATCATTTGACATTTGCAACAAGTTTTTAGTATATGATAGTAAGATGTTGTCTGAGACATCCAATTTTTAAATAAATAAACCAATTAAAGCACAATTAGTATTAAATATCTTGCTTATCTTTGAGGTAAAATTAATAAATATAAATATTAAAGTGTATTGGAACATCTGTTAATTTCTACATTTTATTTATTAATATGGAATTAGTCCATCATGAGCTGACAAAGCATGTGAAATAAATAAAACAATATGTTATCCATCAGACAATAATATTTTTGACCATTTGTTTATCAAATCTTCTAAAATTGTTTAAGTGGAAATCTGCTTAAAAATCGGTTTCAAGAACTGATCATAAAAGCTTGAAAACATTTAAATGTGATGGCCAAGTTAGATGTCCAAACTCTTATACATGTTTTCTGAACCAGTTTTAACAATTTCATAAGTATGAATTGCTGCATTGTCTTCCCCAAATGAACCAGTTATGTTTTTGGAATTAAATGTTCATCATAAGGTAAACTAGGTCTACAGTGAGGTTTAAGTAATCATTCATTGTCACTTTACCTTTCACTGAGATAATAGACCCTAAACTGTAAACAGGTGTCCACTTCATTACAGAACCTCCACATACTTAACTGGTTGAACAAGATATTCATGGTTATATAAACTCACCATTTCATGGGAAGAGTGTAAAGGCTGATTCATTTGATCACATCACGTTCTTCCATTAATCTTCAGTCCAATCTTTATATTCTTGACATAACTCAGGGTTTTGTATTTTTTGGTGTTAGAGGTTTCTGAGTGGCAGTTTTATCTACAATGGTAACCCATCTTATGCAGTGCCCTCTGAGGTTTTTTGATATAGATTGGTTGTTGTAGGCTGTCTTGTGTTAATGCTCATCTGTCACAGTCTCTCAACTTATTTTTTATATATCCATCCTGACATCACTTTTGACACTTTCGAACCAAGATTACAACAAGGTAGGTTGTGTCTTTAGTCTGCTCAAAATTTCACATTTTTTAGACTGAATTACAGCTTATTTACTAAGCTTGATAAGTTATAGTTGAATTCTATGGTATCGATATAGTAATTTATGATTTTTTGGTTCAACTGTATATATAAAACCTAAAAAAACTGATTCTGTTTCATATCCTCCAAGTGTAAAATTTTAAAAGGCTTAGCAGCCTATGTCAAGCAGTAACCAAGTACAAAGGTCATAACTAGAAGAGATAATTGTTTGCTTTACTTCTTTAGTTACTGTTCTACGTTTTAAGAAAAATAAGTTTAAGAAGTTATTTCTAAACAGCAATAATCTATATACATATATAATGTATAATAATTGAAATATGACTGTATTTTACAAAATACTAGTCAACTAAAACACAGCCAAGATAGGTCACTTTGTAAAGACTAAAGATCAGTTTTATATTATTGGATATGGTAACATGAGTGCATGTGTACCATGTCATTGTAACTTCTGTATTGTTAGCTAGGCATGGCTGAAAGGTCAATATAATAAAAATAATAAATATATATAAATGTGTAATGTTATGAGATTTATGCTATTTAGTCTAAACCTTTGTTGTCATTCTAGAATGAAAGAGGCATGATTTATATTTATTTCCTAATTTTTTATGGTGGTTATGAGATTGATCAAATCTACTGAACTAATACACAAATTCGTTACTGAAAATAACAGATAAAATATAAAGTTTTTTCTTAAGAAACATTTG